GTACAAATTACAGGATAACCCAACCTTGAAAAGACAGCACCAGATGGCCACGCTCGGCGACAGTGACAGAGCAATGCTAGGGCAAAAAACTCACTGAGGTTCCCTGTTCTCATAGCTACTGAGAAATTCCAAAGGAAAATTATGGAATGAAGATGATTTATGGCTCAAAATTCCAACTCAATTTTCTCAATTTCTTTTCTGATTCTGCGTTTCAGCAAATTGAAAAGTGAATCATCCTTTTATTTTGTGTTCTCATGAATAGTAAAAACTATTACAGCTGTTAAGAGCTGTGCAATCCTCGCTTATTCTAACCCTCATCACTGCTGCCACAGCAAGAATCTTCTCATAAATAGGGATATCTGATCATAAGTTAGTGCAAATAACTGTATTTCTTATCAATAACAAATCATTACAGTAGTTGCTTTATTACCAAAATACATTATTAAAGGTGACAGAAAACATGACTGAGAAATGTGCTGGAAAGAGAAGGTCTGGCTCCAGCACGCAGGCAAGCTGACCTATTGTACTGAAATCCTCAACTTTACTTTTTATTTTTTTTCTTGATGTTTTTAGTTACTTTTTCCTACTGAACTGTATCATGACATCATGACTTTGCACTCCTTATTTTTGTTTGCTTCAGTAGCAGAACCTGGGATAAATTAAGCTCTTTGAGTCAAAAACAAACAGGTATCAGGGATTTTCAGTACATCCGATATAAACAACGAGAAACACTAACGTGATAACACTGCATCAGACATTTTACCTGTTTTTTCACCTCCTTATTGGGTGTGGAATGAGAAATGGGATAAAAAGTCGATAGAGTTTCATGTTTAAAAACACACTATCTAAATCTTTTGGAGGAAAATAAAGGTTTATTCCTTTGCCTAGAAGGTACATTGCCTGTGCCTGTTTTGACAAGACCCAACTAATGCAGTTTACATCCTGGTATTTCACTAAAGCTGTAATGCAGTTGAGAATGCAGTATGATACAAATATAATGACCATATCCCTTGAGAAGGCTAAAACAAATGCTGCTGTCAGAGAAGCCAATAGTTTTACAATAGTTTTTCTTTTGGCGCAATTATTGTATCTTTTATTTCCTCCCTTCCTATTGCAGCTCAACTGTGTCGCCACATTCTTATGAACTGGAAACTAACTACGACTCATTCCACCAACACAAGGAACACTTACAGAGCTGCTGCAAAGCACAAAGCTGTCTTCTAACATATTCTGATTCACTGCCGTTTATAGACAAGCATGAGATGGATCATACAGATCTTCCCCTTTCAAATCTATAAGCTCTTTGTAAAAGAGGAATGAATTAACCCATTCACCAGACTTGAGAAGGAATTCAGTATTAAAATTTTGAGAGAGAAACTGAGGCACGGATATATAAAGACTTATTAAAAGTAGCTCTTTTACTGTCTTACATCCCCCTAATCTTTAAAACATAAGATGCTTCCTTACTCATTAGCGTTAGAGCCCCTTTGGGGAAGGCTATCTGCATCCTCAGAGTGTGCTGACAGTACAGACTACAGGAAAGGGAGTCAATGGGATGACAAAATATAGGGACAAAAATTAAGTGCTGCACAAAAGTGCAGAAATCACAATGAGAGACTTAAAAAAGCAAGGGAAGAAACAAGGGCAGGGAACAAAAAAAGACAGTGATGGAAGACGGGAGGTAATGCCCTGAGAGCCTTAGTGCTGAGAATGTAAATTGTATTCAGAATAAGAGAGTTTAATGACTGATCAAAAAATGTTCCAAAATCTACAAGTTTACTTGGGAAAAAAATAAAAGCATCTGTGATGAAGAGCACAGTACTGACACGACTCCAGATTCCGGTCTTTCATTCCCATAGGGCCACAGTGAACACTTAAAAAATTTACTGCCATTCCACCTGTCAAGTGAGATGACATGCTCTGCAGCTCTGCTGGAGACCGACGAGATTAAGAGCACTGATCAGTCCTTTCAGTACCTGAAAAATATTTTGCTGTCCTGGATACTAGCAGAACAAAGCCCAACTTGACTTATTGGTTAATAAAACCTACAAAACTCAGTGAAGATGTCTAGTATTAAAGAAGCTTTTCAGATGTTAAAAGCAAATAAAAGGGGACGAATCCAGAACTGCTAATTTTAGGGTATTCTTTTAGTCTTGCTTTTTTACTTTTAGAAACGTACCACAACAGATTAAATTTTTAATTCTTTCAAAGCAGCAAGAACAGAAAAGGAATCTGCTTCGAGGGCCACTGAACAGCGCCTGTAAAATCCAACTGATAGCGAGTCCGCCTCCTCTCCTGATCACTGCACAATCACAAGGTTAAGCAGCTGCTCCCAAGAAGAGCCTTGTTTCCTCGGAGCAGTGCTTAAAGGTGCTGACCATGTAGGTGTAAATACATCTGTCTTTTGCCATTTGCAGTAATACATGCCTCCTACACTTCTCCGAGCGAGGCAGATGGTCCCTGTCCTGTCTGGATATTACACTGCACAGACTTCCAGCGCTATGTGTTTCTCGAAATCTGAGGGCAGATGTTAAATATGTTAAACACACGCTTTGCCCCCTGGAGGTTTAAGTTAAGGCTGCTGTCTCAATTTGGTCATTTTAGGCATGCCAGGCTTCTTGGATCCTAAGCATTCTTCCTAAATCCCTGCTTTATAAATACAGCTTTTCATGTTAATTTTGTGTTCTTTCATCAAACATTTTGGATGCAGAACAAATGAAGGAAGCTCTCAGCTTAGCATTACACATCCACACAGGCTTCACTGAAAATTATGATCCTCATTCATGAAAACTCTATTTACACAGCAGGGTATTTCCCATGACTGTTGTTTTCCCCCCCCTTACATAAGCCTCACTGAATATTTTAAATTTAATTAGTTTTAAAAATGACACAAAATAATAGGACAGGGACAGTTCCCAAATAGTAAAATTTGCTCAAAGAAAGCTACAAATACCAATACTTTCTTTTTAAGATATTTAAGAATAAAACATTGAATAGAATAATGCAGACTTATTACATTTGCAATAATTGTGGAAAAGTTTGCTGGTATCACCACAGCATTAAGAAAACAACAGCTTTTGTAAAGGCCAGTGGGCGAATTACTATTATAAACCAAGTGCTTATTTCCAAAGCACCCCCCTCACCACTGCTCCTATCACCCCACATTTCCCTGGCAGACACTCAGATGGCTTTTTACGTTCTTCCTGTGCCTTGCTCCACCTGATTTTAAGTGTCTGTTCCCTTTCTAGGAGTCTACAAAGAGCCCAGGATTACATTCCTGTCCTCCTCCGATTGTACTCTTCAAGTCACGTTCTTGCTGTTTTCCTTCTTTGAGGAACTGTAACCTCCTGATGATCCTCCACACACATCAACCTCTCTCTGATCCTACCTTCCTCACTGTCCTCACCCTAGATCACACCTTTCTATACTTTCAAAATTCACCTGATCACTAGTGAAACCTTTTTTCCCTCGCCTGTGTTTAAATTGTAAGCAGAAGGAAAGCCCACAAAAATAAGCAACTGAAATGTATGTGCAGAGGAAATTAAACCACGACATTACCCTCATACTGTTTCTTTACTGTTCCCTAAGTTCCATTTACAATTATCTGTGCAGTTCAGGAACTCATCTGCAGACAGCCTCTGTGCTGAGAGCAATTGTGTGTTCGTAGTTCATGGTCTGGCTCAACGAGCCTGATGAAATTCCTGTTCAGAGCAGCGTGGCAGGACGGGCTTGTGAGACAGACATGTACAGGGATACACACGTATACATGGGAATACATACACAGGTAAGCTTCCAAACGTCCCCATGCAGATACAGTGTGCTAAACAAGACAAAACCAGATTTTACAGCATGTCCTGAACATTCAAGCACCGAATATGGGAATTACTCAGGGAGAGGGGGAACATCCATGAGCTCCTGCCTGAAAAGTAATTCCTGGCTCACGAAACACAAGGTAAAATTCACCTCACTATTGAGGCTTGAGCAGGGAATCACCGAAGCAAGCAAGGCAGTGCCTGCACCCCTTTGCCAAAATGCAGGGAAACGTTATGAACCTGTAGGACTCTCAGTTGTTTTGTCCAGCCCCATGCCATAGTGGAGCTATTTTTCTTATAAATATAAAAGCTATCTGTAAATTAATGGATCAGACTTTTAAACAGAAGATATTCAGGGAACTGAACAACAAAAAAGTGAGAGGAGAAAAAATACATAATGATCACCCACCAGCTTTAAGTATTAATTGAAAAAAAAATAAAGTTTTGAAATTTATCAAGAGAAAAATATCAACTGTTGAATAGTATCAACTCACTTAAAATTGTGACAGTTTATGGACCTCACAAAAACTTCTTAGTTATTGTAACATACATATATTTAGTAAAGCTTTTCACAACAAATATTTTGAAGTGGTTTACTATGGCACAGTGAGAAGTACCAAAGTGCAGCTGGCTCCGAAATGAAAGTGCACACGTGAATTTCATAGTACAGAACAGTCACTTCAGAGGAAAAATAAGGTCAAGAAAACAGCAGGATTAAGTTTTGTCTTTATGCTCAACCTGGCTTACTGTCTTTCCATCTCTGACAGTCAAAAATAATTTCTGCTTGAAAAGTTTGGAAATAATAAACAAACTTTTTTTTTTTTTCTTTAAAAAAGTAAAACCATAACTCTTTCTGACTGAATACAGCTCTGCTTATGTTTCATACCAATTCCTGGTGTGAAACCTCTCCTGATGTCATCGTACAGTATTTCCCACTGCAAGAAAATGACCCATCCAAATGAATTCTCCTGAATTTTAGAGATTTCTTTTCAGGTTTTAATTATCTGATGCTGGTTTTCTTGTCTCCTCTTCCCCCACCCCTCTTCTGTTGCCATTAAATTACATACACTGAAAATAAAATAAGGAATAAAACAAACTAGCACTAGTAACACATCACTAGTAACACAAATTATTTCCATATGAATTATAAATAACAATGTTAGGAAAGGTTTGTGCACATACACTTACCCTGTGCGTTTGGTGATGGTCCCTAATGTCATTGGCTGCTTGATTTGAGCAAGAGGCAACACCACAGTCAAACTTGGAAGAGGCAGGAGTCGAGGGTTCCCAGGATTGTTGTTGGTGAAGTTATTGTAAGTGTCTTGGCTGTTTAATTTACCTTGATGGGATAGAGATGTAATAAAACACATTATTGGAATTTTTTCTTCCTTGATCGTTCCTAGCAATTGCCTCAAGTAAGGCACTGCCAAAAAACAGGGGGGAAAAAAAGAAATAACAAGCTCCTTTTGTAAACAAAAATACATCTAAAAAACTAATCTCCATTTCAGCTACAAAAAGACAACAGCAGCAGCAAATACTTGTTTTTATATATGGGGATACAGTCCCCTTCCATGGAAGGGAAATTGTTCATGTTGCTGCTGCTTGCCTGACAGTTTTGTTCACTCAAAAGTTCGGTTTGAAGAACAAGCTCTGGATTCCAATTCTCTGTTAACAAACAAATGCAAAAAAACGTATGGAAGGGAATTATTTTCCTGAAGTACCACATACAGTGTTGGTAATTGCAAGTCCTGAAAAGGTCTCTCTTGTTGTCCCTACGGATAAACAGTCATCTGCTGAACTACGACCGGAGGAACAGAACAAGTAACTCTATAAAACAACGCCATGCAAACTACATGCAAAAAAAAATCAAGAAAGTATCAAGAAAGTAACAACCTTCATATTCATTCAAAAAAAAAAGAAGAAAACAAAACACAGGTAATTTAAAAAGGAAGGGGAAAACACAACAAAAAAATCCCAACAGCCCTAAATTTAGGTTGTTTCAAAGAGGTCTGTGCTGGAAAGACGCCCAGTTTAGATACGCTTTCTTACTTTCTGTATCATTCTGTAGTCACAACCTTTCATTCTTCAGTTAGAAAAGGAAACTAGCTACAAATTTCATGGACAGTAAAGAAAGAAATGGGAAGAAACCAAAGAAAGAAGTTAAACAAAAAAGGGGCCAGTCTGTTTATAACAGAATCAAAAGTACTTTAAATAGACAAGCAACCATGAATTAAAAGGTTTAGATCATTAACTTGTTTTTCTGTGTTCCTATAATGCTGTGAAATGCTGGCTTTGTTCTTAATCAAAAGGGAGCCATATTGGGAATTAGGTTCCTAAACAACCGATGTATTCTACACAGATATTATACAAATCCCAGGCCAAATCCATACAATCTGACTGAAGAGCAGCCACCTTTTTTCAAGGAAGAAAAACAGCACAGAAAAGGGTTTCTCACAGGAAGCTGCCTGAAAAGCTTTAATGGTACTTCAGATGCATTGAAAATAGGAAAAGGAAGGCAGAAAAATCTTAATGAATGTCTCATCATCCTAAAGACACTCAATGCTTCCTTTACCCTTCTTTTAATACTATATAACTGTAAGCTTAGGGGTTTTATTTGTTTTTTCTACAAAATCCACAGACCTCTGCATGTTAGAACAGCACAATAACAAAAATGATGAAATTACAAAGTGTATTTCGTGTTAAGTATCTGGCCTGAACACTGGTCAATACATTTTAAGAGAAATAGCAAGGCTTTAATGAATAACAAGCCTATTGAAGTCTCAGAGAGCAGATTTCATTAATAGCAATTTTCCTCCACCAACTTGGAATAAAAAGAAACAGGAAGGGGGAAAGAAAAAAAAAAAGCTCAGTTTTAAATTAAGACCGAGATGCAATTAATTTTTTTTTAAGATTGGTTTCATAATGCGTTCTTGGTTCTTGTAGAAAGGAGTATGAATAGTTTTCTGCATTATTGTCTAATTAGTTACTGTTGCATGTAATCAAGGCCCCTCTGAAAGTGTTTCACCCTCCCATATTCACCATGAGCAACTGCCTGCTACACAGCGAGCAGCGACGGGCTCTACAGAGGGGGCTCCAAACGTCTGTAATTTGTTTTCTTTTAGTTGTTAGGAATATAATGATTAACTATGAACTGCTG